TAACTCTGGAAAACTTTCTTGCATCATATTTGGACTTAATGCGTGTAAGTAAGTCTTCTGTACCTGATAGGAATTACTTCAAAGAAATTTCTCCTGTTACTTTAGCTGGGCAGGTTGTGAACCAGATGAACCAGCGTCTGCAGACAGGCTTCACCGAGGCAGAAATAATGAGAATATTCTGTGACACCTGTGAAGCTATTGCACGGTTGCATCAATGCAAAACACCTATAGTYCAYCGGGATCTGAAGGTAGGAACTTTGCCATGAGGAAGTCCAGGCTAAAATCAGTGATCTGCTTGAAAAGGATTGAGGATATAGGAGAGGTTTCCCTCAGCCAGACTTCTAGTTGGGAGCTTGCTGTTGGTGGAGCTATAAATAGACATTAACCATAGGACATAATTTATCACTAAAACCAAGTTTATCGGTTGATTTTTCTGAAAACTTCTGTTTGTGTATGAGAACATGTACACTTAACCTGGAAATTAATGCTCTTATATTAACCTACTTGTATGTTGATTTCCTTTCAAGGTGGAGAATCTGTTGTTAAATGATAATGGGAACTATGTTCTCTGTGATTTTGGCAGTGCCACTAACAAATACCTGAACCCTCAAAAAGATGGTGTTAACATGGTTGAAGAAGAAATTAAAAAGTAAGTGTACTTTTAGGTGAYCTGTCATAGGCAATGATAGTGCTGACAGGAAACTCCACATACAATAGTGTGGTATGTGTGTATCACTAATGAATTGAAATTAAGGGCTGATCTTGAATTAATTTTGTCATAAATGTAATAAAAGACTGGAACTATTTGATAATATTTCTTCCATTTATTCAAAGGTGTTTTTCCAAAACAGATTCTTAAATATAAAACTGTTGGAAAAAAACACGCTGGTGTGAAATTAATTTGTTCAAAAATATATGTTTGGTCACTGGCCATTTTAGGAGTTGGATATTTTTAGTTTGTGCTGTTTTAATACTGCTAAGCAAATACTTGCTAAGATAACAAGAACTGATGTAAATAAGCATTGCAMTGGATTTATGTAGAGTCTCGTTTACAGAGTGTGGTCCATATTTGTTCTCCTRACACTGATCAGAAAATTATTTCAACATTTTGTAGACACACTCTTGAAAACGTGTCTAACATATCTAACATGTATTACTTTGGTTCTGCCCCTCTRGGCTATCTGCTGCAGCGGGGTAAATACAGGCTGCTTGTTTTTAAGTCACGATGCAGGTTTTTTCCAGCTCTGAAGTACTTGAACAACCAGTTTAGCAGTTGTTTGGACTGTTAGTGTTTTCAAATGTGCATTCTATATGTTTCAGGATTAGCTCTATAGGGAGAGCCCTTGTAGGACTGTGCAGTTACCCCTCCCAGATGATTGGCTGCTTAYGCACAGTCATTGGCAAAAGTCTGTGCTTTTGGGGGAACAATGCTCAAAGCAAATTTTAGCTGACTTATTCTTGTGTATGATAGTTGATATTGCTGTGCCAGATGTTATTTGTGATGCTGCAAATGCAGTAATGACTTGGATCATGCAAGACAATTGCAGGCACATGTCTGCAACTTGTGTGAGTGGTGTGTGCACAGTGGATGGGGAAAACACCCTCTCAGTTCTGAGGCAAGGGTTTTAGTTATGTGCTCTCTGGTTTGTATTGCTAGGTACACAACGCTGTCGTACAGAGCTCCTGAGATGATCAATCTGTATGGAGGAAAGCCAATTACTACCAAGGCAGATATATGGGTGAGCAAAAAATCAGGTAGTATGATAAGTGGGATTGGTTAGGGAGGGGGAAAAATTAATTATGGAAAATCAAATACATTGGGCAGAACACACAACAGTAGAGAGATCTTGGGTGGTTAGATTTCCTGTAAGTAAAATGAATGCTGTGTTCTATTTTTTTTTTTAATTTAAAGGAAGGGGGGAAATGGTTTAGAACTTTTCTTTTTTTGTTGGCTCTAGTTTTTCTTTGATAGTCCCCAATGATTTCTCATGGAAACCTGTYGGTAGCATGATCAAGAAAGGTGTGTTTTATTGGCTGATACGCAGAGGAGAAAATAAACAGAAATTTAGTGCAAAGAGAAGCAGTATCTCTGGGTGTTACGACCCTGAGAATGCAGATGTTGGTATGCTCTGGTTTTATACTTGGTCTGCTGCAGACATCAGTGGAAGAGCACGTGTTGTTAGAGCTGCTTTTGATCCCTCAGCAGTGTTCCAGAGTGCATCTCCTCCACAGCGTGTGAGCATCTGCCGTAGCCAGGGTGCAGTGTCTTGTTGGTGCTGCCTTGTTGTGTCCTGTTGTGTCACAGGCTTGCTCTCAGCCCCTCTCAGTTCCTGTGTTTGTCTTTTACAGGCACTGGGCTGCTTGCTGTACAAACTGTGCTTCTTCTCCCTTCCCTTTGGAGAAAGTCAAGTAGCCATTTGTGATGGAAGCTTCACCATCCCGGACAGCTCGCGCTACTCSCACAGCGTTCACTGCTTGATCAGTAAGTGCACAGCCATGCACAYGTCTTGTGTCTCACAAAGCCCAGAAAGCACAGCAAGTGCTGCTAAACACTAGCAGTGTGAAGAGCTACCATGTTCAGCTGGGCCTCTCAATTCCCCAAGAGCATTACTGAAGTTCCAAGACCCTTTTGATTTCTCTGGGACTGAAGGATGATTTTTTTTTTCCTTAGGTGTCCACAAGTCCCRAAGGAATAGGAGGAATGCAATGAGTACTTGTGTTTATTATGTASCTCCATTTATTCATATTTCCCTTTTGCTCTCAAGTGTCAGATGCTGACAGTGTTTTCTATCCAAATTGGATGAAGTGCTGAGATAAATTTGAAGTGCAGGTTTAGCATATCAACATCCATGTGCTGACATTAATTGCCTTGGGGACAATTTTATAGTAGTTCCATGATTTGTACCAGCACAAAATGTGGAAAATTTTGTGCAACCCCAAGTGTTAGACATGACCTCTAGCAAAAGTTTGGAAGYATGAAGTGTATGAAGGAAAACCTTGAACAAGGAGCAACTCAGAGGCTTGTGATTCATCTGTAACCCAGGCACATAGATATGTGAGCTAATATTTACACTTATCATAAGTATCTTCTTTGTCTTCAACTTAGAGTAGGCTCACTTGAAAGAATGTGATGGACAGAATATGAAAAATTCAACAAGTTTGAATAGGAGCTCATATAACTTTTAAGTTATGGATGTGTTGACCGCACAGTTTATGCTTTTATGTAATAGGCAATACCAGATCCAAATCTCTTTTTTGAGTGCACATTCATAATTGTGAAACAGCAGTTATGATGGTAAGCACTTGCCTTCTGCCAATACTGACAAAACGACATGAATTTTCAAATTACTTCAGTACTGTTCTCTGTCTGAGCGGTGCTTTTTTTTTTTAGAGGAGTATGGGTTTTAATCACTTTTCCCATGTATGAATGCAGATTTTAAATTTCAGTGAAGTGCTGTGCCTGGATGAGCAATACTGGCATGGAATATGTGTGGGTGGGGCAGAATGTCTTGATGTAAACTTCCCTTCTTTCCACTTGGAGCGGAAGCCATAAAAAGCTGCAGTTGATCATAAAAGGTATTTCAGGGGCTGTGGCTTCATCTCTGCTCTTTTACAAGGCCAGGGGTGGGGAGCAACAAGCTGGGTATACTCCCTCCATGAATTAACATTTCAGAATCAAGTGGCAGGAGTCACTTCAGTGAGTACTCTGCTTCCATGTCATGGTGCTGCCCCTGAGAGTTGGAATTCGTTATTTTGTAACATCTATTAAAAATTAAACTTCCAGTGAACTGTACAGAACATGAAATACTGGCTTTGTGTAAAATTCTAGCATCTGTTTAAAAATATATTTTCAACTTACTGAGAAATTTTTGTAAAATTATGTGTAAGGTTGGCTGTACTACTGAGCCACTGTGCGAGTGTAGTTCACTTTGCTCATCAAAAGTGAGAAGTTATATTTTTGTAGGTTGTTCATTTACCTCATAGCAGAACATATTTTTAGAGGCTTAGACTTTTTCTGGAAGCGTGTTTTATTGTTTATTTAGGTTCTCTGGTTATCTAGGCAACATTGCCTGATTATGTATATTGTGTTATATTGGAAACAATATCAAGTAACTTTGATTTCTTGGAAAAAGACCAAACCTTTTAATTTGGGAAGCAAATGTTTGAGAGGAAACACCAGGAATTGTGCGTCTTGTCAGGGAAAAGTCCTTTCATTCATGAAATTATTTTTTTTATATGCAGGATTGTTCATGGTCAATGAAACATACAGACTAGGAGTGATAAATGTTAGCATGATGCAGTTAGTTCTGTCAATCTCCTTTTAGCTACRTTGAATTTTTTATTAACCTTGGAAAATGCTGGTGCTGTGAGTTGGTTTTGTGTTGTTTCTCTCTGCAGTTTCTAATTCCTACTTCGGTTTAGCTCTCTTTTGCAAAGCTGAGTGTCAGGATATCAAGCAGCATAGATGTTCTACAGTTGTTTTTGACCCTATAAACTACTTGACTTAAAAGTATTAAAATAAAATTCCCCCAAATCCAAGATAAGAGTGCAGATGACTGTTTTGGTGGTAAGCTTATTTGGTGGAGCTGCTGAATTTCTCCTTGGTGRTAGCATGCTGTCTCAACAGGCTTTTTGAGATATAGCAGTGATAAGTCTTATCAATTTTTGCAGGATATATGCTTGAACCAGATCAAGAGCAGAGACCTGATATCTTTCAAGTATCTTACTTTGCCTTTAAAATTGCCAAAAAGGATTGTCCAGTGTCTAATATTAATGTAAGTACTGTTGAATTCCTTCAGTATTTTCAGTGTGTTATATAGGTGGTATTGAGAAGTCTGTCACATGAGCTGAGTGATCAGTTCTGTCCCATGCCTGCTTTCTGCCTGTAAAACAGAGAGCATGTGTACACACAGTATGAGCTCTCTGTACACAAAACATGCTCTTAATTTTGAGGGGGTAGTTTYATGAACTATATTGATACTGCACCATTTCCTGGCTTAGGATTTTAGCCATTGGAATCTTCATACAATCTATATGAAATATGCAGATATTACCCTTGTTGACAGTAGCAGGCTTAGTGTTGTAAGTGTAGTGTCAAGAGCGTGTATGTTTGCTCTGGATAAAGCCTTGTCTCAATCATCCTTAGCAATTGTGTTAGTCCACTGGAAGTACTCAGAGAGCTGGAGAGCAAACAGAGCAGTACTTGGGCCAGCCTCTGATTTTACCCTTGCTTTCCATGGGGGTCTGAGCTTGCTCTCCAAGATCACTTGCTTCACGTGGAATTACTGTGTAATGGGATTTGGGGACACTTAGCTGATATTGAGTATTACAAAGTGGTTCTCAAGTGAAGTTTCAGGAAAAATCCATCTCAAAATTGAGTTTGCAGCAGGTATCAATCAAGTGATCTGTCCTCAGAGGCAGAGAAGTGAACTCTGGGATCCCTTTGAATTCCATTTTTCCTTTATCATTGTAGAAGGAGGTGCTCAGTAAATTGGAGTGTTGCCTTTTGGAARCACAGACTAAAATAAACTGGGACATCTGGAAATATTTGATCATTAATTGTCTCTRTTATTTGTGGCCAGGTTTAATTTGCATTCAGTGCGTGCGTTTGTCATTAGAGATGATGGGTTTCCTCCTTTGCCCCAAAGTGCCATATTCCTTGTAAAACATAGTCTAGGYGATGTGGGATTCATTCAGCAATGGGATTGAGGTKGGGGYAAGATATAAAAGCCTRTTGAAGCTTTGGTGCTGCATGGTTYTCTGGAATTGTGTTCTGGTGGAAGAGCTCAGTGGGGTAAAAACGATTTCCTCCAAAKACTGGGCTTTGATACAGTTCTTAAGTGTGAGGCTAAAGTAAGTCTGTGCAGTCACACAAAAATACTTGGAGAATGTGTTGTGCTCATGTAAATGAAGTGAGGTAGTTGACAAAAGAGTCAGACCAGTCAGGTTCTGCTTCACTTCTGCAACAGACTGAGAGGATATAGAGATACTGTTAAGTTAACACCTTTTTCATATACAGCTGTGAGTTCTGCTTGAAGCCTTGTAGTGTGGAGGTCTTGAACCCAAGTGTTCCTCTTCAATATGTACTGAATTTTTTTCTTTCAGGATTTTGGTTTTTTAATTTATTCCAATTTATTTTTCCCAAGAATTCTCCTGTCCCTTCAACTCTTCCTGAACCCATGACAGCTAGTGAGGCRGCTGCTAGAAAAAGCCAAATAAAAGCAAGGTGAGAAAAAGATGTGACTTGCATTTTCTTCCTCCTAATGTTGTTAAGCTACATGTTTGTTTAAAGCCTGTTTTAATATTCTTGTTAATAAGTGAAATATTACCTCAGTAGTAGTCATTAGATAAACTGCATTTCTAAGAGCTTCAGGTATCTGTTTGGATTCCACTCCTTTGCTTTTTTCATTATATTGAGAATCCAGGCAGAGAAAYTGAGAGCCTGATGTTTTGAAGGTAAATGGGTTTTATTTGTTTCTGAGAAATTCCAGTTTTTATGGATTATTTTTCCCTGTCTTTGGGAAAGTAACTGTCTTTGTTAGTAGAAACAAACACAAGACCTTGGTAATTCCTGTTTATGCTTTTCGTTTCTGCTGTGATATAGTGTGTTAATGCTGATGCTGGATGAATCCTTTACTCTTTCATTCCTTGTTGGAAGTGTTTGGGTTTGAATCTACCAGCAAGCAGATTCTTTTAGTGGCTCAGATACTTTTATATTTGGCTATAACTATCAGCTCTGTTTACAAAAAATAGAAACAAAAACATAAGGAATTAGTATAAGTAGAAATTACTTGACATAACACATAAGATATCCTTTCTCTTATTTCTTGCACATATTACCAGTAATCAAGTTTCTAGTTACAGATTTTGGACTCAAGCACAGGACTGGAGCTTTAGGAAGCGAATTTTAAGTTACTTAYGTGCAGTGCAGAAGTAGAGTAGCACATAATTAAGACATGACTGAGCTATTAAGAGATGTACTGTGTGTAATTTGAATAGAAATAGTTGGTTTTTCATCAATATCTTCTATGGGAAAATTTGTCCTTTCAGGATAACAGATGCTGTTGGACCAACAGAAACCTCAATTGCACCACGACAAAGACCAAAGGCCAATTCAAGCACTGCCCCTTCCAGTGTGCTGGCAATCCAGAGCTCAGCAACTCCTGTCAAAGTACAAGTTCCTGGGGAATTTGGTAATCGTGGGCAAAAAGGTAAATTAACATCTAAGGATGGACCAAAATAAACACAGAAGTAACTGAGCCTTCATTCTTSTTGTTGTTCAACTACGGATAATGCTTAAAACTCAGGTTTTATTGCTGTTATTTTTTTATATTCCAAAAACCAAATCTTCATCATGATGTCTGAAAGACTTTAAATGTGTGAGTTGTAGATGTGAATTGCGACAAAAACTGAAAACAGATTATTGAGAACCTGTTTTTTCATTGTGCTTAGCACTGGTTTTTGGATGAACTTGCCCACTGCAGACAGAAGTTTATCCTTGTTTTGACTTGCAAATGATTCACAGAAAGTACAGAACTGTTCTGTAACAAACTGAGGTTTTTGTAATAGGAAAAACACTGTGCCTCAAGAAGTCGTGAGACAGCACCAATGTGCTGGAGGTATTTGTAGGCTGGAACCATGTCAGTTCTCTCATGTGTAGTGAATCTGTCATGCATGGCACTGTGGGTGCAGGAGGACTTGGGGAAAACTCAGTAGCATGAAATGGGTTTTTGAAAAATCATGTTTCTGTCTGTCATTCAGGAAGAGTTACAGCTCGGATAAATACTCAGTTAAATAGTTTATGATGTTTATTGCACTTCATGCTGTTATGTGTCTGCTGCTGAAGAGTGGCTTCAGGGGTGGTATTGGAAAAGGATCAGAAGGTCACTGAGAGCGTTTGTGTCCTAGATCTAAACACTTTTTACTAGGTGGAATCCACATAACATCCAGCTTGAAAAGCTTTTTCTGTTATGACAAGGAACAGATCATTCCTCAGTGCTTAAGAGTATAGAACACATTGTGCAATAGAGAAATTTATGGTAGTGACTGTTTCTTAATAGGTTGCAAAAGCAATTGAATGGCAAAATTTATCAGGTTCTGTTTAAGGGAATTTGATGGGCGAGCTAATAGTTTCCTTAGGAAAAAGAATTCAAAATATGTCTGTTTTGAATTCAGACAAAAGCTGTATGCTTTGATGTAAGGGTTTGAGATCCTGCAGTGTGTAGCTTAAGTGTTAGTAAAGCAGAAATCTGGAACCCAGCTTGCTGTTACGATGCCAGAGGAAGCTTCCAGCATCTTGCAGGTAGAAATGGTTCATTTGCAGGAGTTACTTTTGAAGAAGTGCACTTGTTGTGTACCAGCTGTGGTGGCTGTCAGCCTGGGAAGGGAAGCTCCCAGCCTGTGTCACCTTGACCTGTCCAACTGCCAGGGAGAGCTGTGGCTGAAGCTGAGGCTCTGGATGTCAGCAGTGTTGTCTGTCACAGGAACCACGCGGCCGGGGAGCGGCCAAGATGTGTCCCAGGCCCARGGGAGCAYCCCACAGCAGCACAGGGTCCTGCAGCAGCTGCAGCAGGGAGACTGGAGACTGCAGCAGCTGCACCACTTGCAGCAGCAGCAGCAGCAGCAGCAGCAGCAGCCCGCCGTGCAGGACACCTACATCCAGCAGGTACAGTCCAACCCGTCAGACAAGTGTCTGAGACACTTTGTGTGTTAATAACACTTGGAGTCGTGCCAGTTCAACACTTCTGCTCTTGCTGCCTGTTTTCCCAGCTTAAAGAGTTCCTGCCTCTTCTTACTGTGCATTGTCCCTTCATAGGCCCTGTAATATGTATCATGGAAAGTTGCTTGCTTTGTGCTGTGTTATTTTTGCTGAATTCCAGCTTGCTTTGCATCACCATTGTGTGACTTAACTAAAGGCTTTACCTATGTGCAAAGGAGCTCGGGTTAAATGTTAGGGGTTACCTAGGTAATTATGATGTGCTTGCTCTAAGTCGCTTCTTGTGCACCAGTGCTGAATATGTGGTCAGATTTCTTTTTTTTTTTTTTTTAAGAATTGTAAGGGGAGTGGGGAAAGGAAAGAGCTTCCAAACAGAATTATTAAAATGCATTGACTGCATTGCAAGCTGGTTCTTGATTGTGATATCTTAATTGAAAATGCTGTGGAGTCCTAGATGTGATATTCAGAAGAAGGATTAATTAAAATATCTATTTCTGAGGGGGCATTGTGACTTTTGAAAGCTGTTTTTTGTCTTTGCAGTATCACCAAGCAGTGCACCAGCAGATGGTCCAGCAGCAGCTGTTGCTGCAGTCTGTGTACCAGCAGCAGCCTGCCCACTCCCAGTATCCTGCCATGGTATGTCACAGAGACRGTGCAGTCGGAAAATATGGCCTGTGCTTGTAAATCTTGTGTAGGTGCAGTGAGAGAAGTGCCTGGGTAGTTGTAATGAGCTGTGGACACCGTAAATAGTGAGCAGTTTGACATCTAAAATGATACTTGGTGGGAAGTTAAGATTTCACAACCTAGTTTGGATTGTCTGGAGTTGCCCTTATGTATTAATTATAGGGTGGGCTCTATCTCAAGTTTTGTAGGGAGGGCTGTGCTCATTTGAAGCATACTTGGTTGGGATTTCCAGTACTGGCCACAGCAGCAAATACATGGTACATGACAAAGTGACAGAAGACAGTGGTGTCCAGCTCTTACTTGAAAGGCAAGAGAGCTGACGGTTTTATAAAAATCAGGAGAAGTTGTCCTGAAATCTTACTAAGATTTGAAAATAGAGTGTGATGAAAATGGAATTAGCAGTGCTGCAGTAGCATATATTTGGTTTGTAATAATTAATAAGTCTAGGTGGTGACACACTGGAAAAGTAAACGCATCTCACTGACGGTTTGGAGCAGTTTCTCTGGCCCTGTGTGATCTGGATTGTGGTGGGGGGTGTGTTTGGCTGCAGGAGCAGTGCAGAAGAGATGGAGGCAGCCCCGTGTGTGTTTTGGTAACACAGTTCTCATTTCCCCAGGTGCAGCAGTACCAGCAGGCTCTCCTGCAGCAGCAGATGCTGGCTCAGCAGCGGGCACAGCACGTGCAGTCCCCTGAATATATCACTTCTCCWCAAGACTTTGCACCAGCCTTAATCTCCTACCCCCGGTCGCTCTCAGTGCATGGTGGAACAGTGGCAGATCCTCCCTACCCTACAAACAGGTGAGAATTGTGGCTCAGGTGAGCCCCGGGGTTACTTGTGCTTTACATTGCTAATGGTGGTTAGCACTGTCAAATCCTTTCCTCAGAAATYACTTGCTTTGATAGTAAGAGATTACTTAGAGCAGTTGGACAGTGGGTGTTCAGTGGTAAAGGATATTTTGGGAGCAAAGTGAGACAGTTTGTTAACAGATGAGCCTGGTACAATTTTTGAAAGGATCTGTCTTCCAGTATTTCTTGTTCATGGACTTAGTCCTGGAACTGATTGCTTGGAGGGTCAGTAGCCTATGTTGAATGAGGTTATGAGCATCTGAAGGGAATTTCAAACACCCTGTTAAGAGCAGCGTTGTAGTTGGCATTGTTGTGCTAGGGCTGCTAACCCTGTGCTCAGAGGTGTCACCTGAGTATGTWACATGATGTACACCCCAGCAGTGGCCCTTGGAACTGCCTTTGCTAATAAATGSTAATGAAGGATGGCTTTGTCATGAGTTCTTGTGAGCAACAGTGTATGTAATGTAAAAAACCCCTTCCTTTCTGATTTAAAAATTTAAAAAAATTGTACAGTTGTATTAATTTTAGAAACCAGGTTATATATTGATACAGGTTCCTACTACACTTCCCTTAAATTAGCCTTCAGAATTGTTGGGATGAGCTGTTAATGCATGCGTGTTGCTTGTGTGTAGTACTTTGCATTATGAAGCACATCTTAGATTTTGATCCTGATAACTGATCCTGTCATGTTTGTCTTTTTTGCTTCCCTGAACCGCCTGCACAGGTCAGGTATTGCTGATGCTGAAGCGATTGCCAATTACCCCAAGCAGAATATCAGTAACCCACCCGACATGTCAGGTTGGAACCCGTTTGGAGAGGACAATTTTTCCAAGCTGACAGAGGAGGAGCTGCTGGACAGAGAGTTTGACCTGCTCAGATCAAGTAAGGGACGCTTGAAGGCTTACTTTGCTTCCCAGTAAATGAGGGCTCTGTGGTTGCTCAGCAGTTCCAACACCTGCTTGTCCAAGGACCGTGCAGGCTGTGTGCAGAACATTCTTTCTGAGCATTTGAGGGCACAGTTGGGCCTGTCTTCTTCCTTTCCTTTTCCTTTTTGMAAACGTGTGCAATAGGAACTCACCGTCTGAAACTGGTAGTTACTGGCTTCATTACTGCAGAAATGGTAATATCTTAGCTCTTCAGCACTGCATTGTGTCTCCTTCACTGTCAAGAGGCTCTCAACAGCAGAGGTATGTTGTCAGATGGGAAGAGAATTTTGGCTGCTTGCTTTATTCCTTTCCAGCTTTTTTCTTGCACACCAGAGCAGAAGATTCTGTGGGGGTCTGATATGTCCTTTGAAAATGCCTGAAAGAAAATTGATCTATTACATTATGTTAATGTTTTGTACTGTCCTTTCTGAGTGGCTACATGTAAGGGCTGCTTTATTGTACTGATATGGCAATAGTTGAATAAAATTTTTCCTCGTGAAGTCAGTTATCTCCATGGTTTTTACTTGGAATTGCTTTCTCTTCTTAATTGCTGAACACACATTTGCTAGTTGCTCTTCCCATAACTGGTTTTGTTGAGATCAGATTTATTAGTGGGACTTGGAAAATGTGACAGTGRTAAAAAAACAGATTGTGTATGCTTGGCTGTCTATCAGCAAGTTTCTTGCAATTAAAAGTACAGTGAAGTTGAATTTCAAGTAACTGAAAAGAAGTACTTTGCATTCAGTTGAGTATTTTTCTTATTGGATGTGCACATTACCTGGGAACCCTTCAGGAAAAGTAACTGGGTGGGTTTGTTTGTGAAGCTCTGGYTGATAGTTTTCCCTGGTATCCTGGTTTTCCCTTGTCTCCTGTTTTTGAGATGGGAATGTAGTCTGCACRCATTATACAGTCAAATGTTTCAGTGCTAGCTGGGGAAAATGGCTAATGTATTAGCTGAAATTAAGCATTCCTTCCAAATCCAAGTTAAGGATTTGATTCAGTAGTAGAACTGTATGCTCCTTGCAAATGTAGCCCCAAGTCTTTTGAAATAATGCACTTGAGGATCTGGAGCAGGTTATTTTGAACCAGAGGTCAGCACTGCAGCACCCACTTTCAGAATCTGTAGCTGTTGGAYTCCTGGCAGTACTTAAGTCACTTCGATGAGATTGATGTGTTTAAGCCACAGGTTTTGAACAAACACAAGTACCAACGAGGATGATAACCAAGGCTCGTTTTGGGCTCAGCTCTTCAAGGTAATTGAGTGCACAGGAGAGCTGTGTGTGATAACGCACCTCATACGCTGTAGGTGAGAGGTGCAGTAAAATAAACTCGCCAGCTCTGCTCAGCAAAAACCAGCTTTGGGGTGGTCACTCSCAGAGAGGAGGTGCAGAAATAACCCGC